TTACAAATATATGTGAAGTCGCGGCGAAACTTAATTAGCGCGATGCAGGTAACGCAGCGTCATATGACTATGCGAGATAACTTGAAGCTTCTTTTTCGCTGTCGATTGTTGTGTTAATATTAGCGCGATAGATGTCGCTACATTTCCATTACGTACTTGGTCAAACAATATTTCAAAATCTAGATTATTGGCACGAAGCTTATTTTTCTCGCCATAAAATTCCTCACGTACCAGTAGGAAATTCATACGAACAATCAAAGAAGGTTATTGTTATTATGGAGTTTTAGTATACTATAAAATTCTATTTATCAATCTTGATCTCAAATCAACCCATGACCGGCGAACTTCGATTAACCGACGACACAAAGGGAGCTTTGTAAGCTGACCAAATTCATAACACGACCGCGACCCTAATCTGCCATGCGTAAAATTCTGGCCATTCAAATCACCGGCATAAGAACGAATTGAGATATTATGTTAATGCTTTATTGTATGCAGATATTCTATATTAAGACCTGTATCAGAGCAGTTCAATTCGTTGCCATAATGAGGGGAGACAATGGCTTTAATAAAGAGATACGTCCATAAACAGATATCTAGATCTGAGATAGCATTAGCGAAGTCTGATTTTGTATGTTCCTCCGTTGTTAACAGGCAATGTTACGCATGAAGGATATATTCGTTTTAATAGGCCTTAAATACACCAGACAAAAAATAATGGTGTTTTCAAATTAAGAATCATATATTTGGCCTATATCTATCTATACAAATATTACATAGAGGAATGATTTTAATGGTTGTTCGTTTGTTTGTTTGCATTGATTAGCTCCATAACTGCTGGATTAAGTTTAAAAATTTATTCACCAACAGGAAGCAACATCATATGCGGGTGACAGAATTTATATTTTTTTCAAGTAAAGTTATTATAGCATAGTTACTTCAGAGAAATTATTGACGCTTATCGATTTGACGCTTTGCAAAATTAAAAACATTTCTTTTATAATATGACCTAGTAAAAAGGGGAAAAATTTTATTTATTTTTATACTGTAACCGAACTTTTTAAAATGTAACTTATTTATTTTTTTGATTTTGTATAATTAGAAATTTTGACAAGTAAACCATATATAAAAGCAAATAAAATACGTATTACAAGCAACCTTAAAACGATGATTGATAAGATTAAATATCGCATTTAAAGGAAAAATTTATTCTTCGCCTTTAGTGCTAATGTGAATGTGCCTCTTAAGCAATGAAACCTTTTGCCACAGGTTGGCTACGGAAGTGTGGCATGCTAATAAGTATAATTAGCTCTGTAGACGTTTTATGGCCTGCTGCATAATTTAGACTGTTGACAGGCAATCAACGTTTCAATATTACCGTCAGTATGCATTGATTTATTTATAAATCAAAATGTCAGAAAATTATTCAGTCTTATAACTTGTTTGAGAAAATTTATTGAAAGTTATATGTTTGGTAAAATATATTGCAACATATATATACACGATTAATTTTTAAGTACACATCTTAAAATAGAGGTATATAAAAACTTTTAATTTAGAGGTATTATATATGTGCAGTTACATTTTAAAAGATTGTAACCTGAAATCGACTCTGAAAACATAAATATTGGTACATACACTCGCAAATCAATTCGACAGCAAGCCGCGCGAGACATGTAAAAAGGTTATTAAAAATCAGTACATTGACTGTAATTTTATATATAAAATCCTTTTATGTAGATTTATAGAGTTTTAACTAACCGATCTTAATAATTCAGTGGTAAATACTGATATAAATTTATTTCTGTAATACTAAGCGACCGAAAAGCTCTATAGTCGATGCGTATACATATTTATTCAATTACTTTTATCTCGAAGTTGCGTGCAATGAGGTTAATTAGTAGGTAGGTATATATTTAGGAAAAAAAATAAAACAAAATAAAATTATTGAAGTTATAAGCGTGATCAAAAAAACTGGTTTGCGTTTCGAATTCTTTTAAAAGAGAATTGTGCGAAAAAACCGGTAGTAGCAATTGAAGCTGTGAGAAAATCCTGCGGCAGTTCTATTTTTATTTCACCACCTGAGGTCTCCAAGTGGTTGGCTTCTCATAGCCAAGACAAAAGCTCGTAAACGGTGCATTGTTCACCCCGAGGGTAGCGGCACTCGACGAGTTTATGCAGTTCTTGAAGAACACAGTTCTTTATGGAGGGCACTTGTGAGCAACTATCGATTAAACTTTTTTTTAATTTTAAACTTTAAAGAAAAATTAACGGCCTCAACGCTTTTTGCGTTGTGTTTAAATATAGTTGTGATTCTTATCTTGGTTGCTGAATTAAATTATTATTTTTTTTACTAATGGAAACGGCTTGAGAGGCTATAAAGTGTCGTCAAAATCGAGCCAGGAAAATTAAATTATGTCTTAATAGTAACCAAATTTTAATTAAAAATAACAAAGGATACGACATCCATGACCGACTATCTAGTAAGTGGCTTTTTAAAGTTTTAAGTTGATACAATGACTATGTAGAAGTTTAATTATAAGTTAGTGTATTTTTATTTTTAAATACAGTAAGTTAATGGACTAAGAATGTAATTTTTCGATACTTATCTAGTTTAGATTGTAGGGAAAAAATCTTGATTCCATAAAAACATTTTATATAACGTTAAATTTTGCATATTGGTGAGGTTATGAACGAGTAACGCTTCATTTTAATTGAAGTAGATTAGCAAAAGGATGTCATGAAATTAAAATAATGCACCACCATTATATTAAGCAAGGAGTGCTTTGCGAATATTCCCATTGCATATTCATTTCTTCAGAGCTTATTGCTATACGTGAACGTTGAGACGTGCGTACGCGCCGCACCGCCCTCGGCGCTGATTGGCCGGGCGGTTTCGCTCCAACCAATCACAAGATAGCGGGAAACGCTCAGTATAATTTTGGCATAATTAGTCACGCTACAAATAACGTGCGTTGCGTTACGAACGGTTTTTCTAGCTTCTAACATTAGATATTAGGATGATTTTCCTGTGACAGACGTTTTTTTTGTTATTTTTAACGACAGGTGGTGAATTATTAATTTCCGTTGACACTATGTTATTTGTGTGCGTGGGAGTATTAAAATGCTGAGTCTGAGGGGTCGACTCACTTTGAGTTTGTTATACCTATATAATCACGCTTTTATATCATAGGGACCAAGCAGAGATTTAGATAGTAAAAAGCTTAAAGTTTGAGAAATGGTTTATATATAATTTTTTAAGTGTAATATTGATAAATAAGTCTAAGAATAATTGTATTTTATTAAACAATATGTACCGGACGTACAACAACAGTAACGGAATTAAGGAACTAACGATTCCCGCGAATAATTAATACAACTCGTAAACACAATTATGAACAACGAGGAATCATGAGATGATTAATAAATTAACAGAGTCTAGATTAAAATATTTTAAATAGCTATACAAACAATAAGATGGTAATCTGGAACGCCTATAACGGCAACCCTGTAAAGCCATTCTGCTTTCATACAAAGCAATTTAACATGGTTAATTAATACTTCATAATTCCTTCAGCTACTTATCGCCCGATTGCCCTGTTCCCAAATCCGGCTACGTCAAACTGTCCGTAACTCGATGACATGAATATTGTGACACGTCTAATTATTCGAATAGCGTGGTACAAGTGAGTGGAGAACGGCGATATAATCAATTATTTGAAAATTTTCCAGGTAGATTATACATTCTTTTTTTAATCATGATTATTTTATTCCGGTGAATAAAGAGTTATTTGTTGTTATCTATCAAGGAAATTTAATAAATATTACATAAGTATATTGAAGAATATATGTTACATAGGTTATATTTTTTACACAGCATAAACGGGTTACGCGACTCATTTAATTTTATATTTAGAACTTCATAAGAGCTTAAGCTATTTGCATCAGTCAATACCATAATAATTATTAATGAATGTTTCTGATTACTCGACATGCCAATCTCAATGCAATGCCGTTCTCTTAAAAGATAAAAGAATGTATAAAAATATGTATGTTGATGGTATTCTTGTTTGTTAAATTGATATGTGAAACCATATGAAACTAATGGACTAAAGCAAATACACTGCAGCAGACAATCACGTTTTTAATAGTCTCTTAAAGAAAGTTTTTTAATAGTTTACTGGTTTTATTTTTACAATTAAGTAAAATAAACACATAGCAAGGTACAAAAATTAAATTAACAACAGCTTCTGAATGGGCAGCCTAAACTATTGTTTGATACTGGTGGTAGATAGTAATTGCATTAGTTGCTTCATATTTCAATCTCACCATTCAACTTGTACCACAATATTTGGCTAGGATTAAATCTCGAATATGTGACAGCTACTCTAATCAACTTTCCCGAGCCATTGCCTCCATATGTGAAGATGGGTTAAGCACCGATTAAACTGTCAAATACATTGTCGCGGGGCTCTCTATAAGAGCTTTATACGATTGATTTGAAACTGTGTTGATGGCTAAATGGAATATTGATGCGCTAATAACACTTATGGCAAGTGGAAAAGGCATATTTTTCATTAATTGTATTTTTTGTGCTGGTTGATATTAATTGCTGGTGTAATTTTAAATATAAGATAAATATATTCTGTTCTTGTGTTTATAGTTGTTGTAGCATGTGCTTAATTGTGTTAAATGAAAAGGAAATGGCTTAGTATTTTGCCAATTGTCAGGATGCTGTGTTTTTTTTTTATTAGTTTAAATGTTTCTAGCATTATTATATTTTTTATAGACCAGAGAGTCTCGAAAAAAATATCTAACCACAGATATACATAATGTATAATATGTCTTATTTAATGCAAAGTTGTTTTATTTTAAATTATACCTTAATCTTCTTAGTGAAACAAATAACTTTTAACTTAAACTTTAACATCGACGAAAGTTCAATGTGCTAGAATATTCAGTAGGATTGAGGTTTATTGTTACAGGAAACTAATACTTACTTCCAAACTAGTATAGCTCCTATGAAGATACCCAGCACTAGAACTATGGAGCACAGGGCGATAACTGCTGACGTCTGGAGAGACGGTCCACTGTGGTTGTAAGCGTCTATCTTCTGGAAAAAAGAAAATGTCTACATTAGTATGATTATTGAATCAACATATATCTAAACTGTATACCTTATAGCATATAGTAGCTTATATGCTAAAAGATATACAGCCAGTTACACAAACGTCCATTAATATTGTCATTAGCTTAATGTCATATTACCCATACAAATTATCAAATTAAGTACATTCATTAAAATTAAAGTCTTCATTAAACCTTAATCGAAGTTTGTCCAACTCACCGCTAGACTAGTGAGTGTCTCAATTTTTACGGCTCGTTTTCTTTTTATATTAAAATTTTGTTTATCATCGAAGAAGTTTTACGCTTCACATATATTTTTGTGAAACTCTACAATTGCTTATAAAGAATAAATACCCGGCTAAGATTGAATGGGACCGGCTACACAACTTTCGGTATTGTCTTAAAAATTTTAGGCCTAGTAATATAGAAGATTAAGTATGAAAAAAAAATTAAAACAACATGTCACATTTTGCTCAGATTTCAAGATGTGCAGCTAAAGCCTTCGTATTATGAAGTATCTGAGGCAACGAAGGTACCACAACACCCAGACCCGAAACAACATGGAAAAGTCCTTTTTGTACATTGACCCGACCGGGAATCGGGACTTCGGAGATGGCGATAACTTGAAACCGGTGTGCAAACCGCTCCGCTATGGAGGTTGTCAATTTTCGTATATATTTTTATGTAACTGAAAAAACTATTTATTTGAAAAATCCATTTTAAATCCTCATAGATCATCCCCTTTTATTTGACTACACAATAAAGTGTTTGTTTTCATTGACATCTAAAAGAGGACGTTATTTACTTTATCAGGCTATCTTTGGGTTCCCAATTTACATATTTGTACCAAATTTCAATTTGATCGGTATTTTCACAGAAAATTGGCATTGACAGACAGAGAGATAGATAGATGACAGACCTATAAACCGGGATACTGTATTTCTTTTATTCGGAGCGTAACCTTAAAAAGTTTTGCAATTTGAGAATCACTTTCTTTTTCAACGTCCGTTTAAGTTATTTGAACGTGGTACCTGACAATGCTTTGCTTTTCTTAGGGAATTTTCTATTATTCAAAAATCAGCAGAAGCGAAGATAAGAAAACTAAATAAGTATATATATGGACGGTATTCGGTCTCCAATTACTATTAAATCTAATTAATACACACTGTATCTTTATTTAATGTATGAAGTGTTTACCTTAACAGTTTGTTACAATTTAATTAGGTGTTTTAGATGATTACAAATGTTGTATCAATGTATACAAACCTAATAAATAAATTATTAATGATACATTCTATTTTGTGCTTATACTATGTGAAGTAGGTTAAACTTTGTGCTGATAAATCATAGAATTTATTTAAATACAAGATAGACTCATAAATTTATTACTCTAAGTGATTCAATGATGAAAGTAATACAATATCTGGACTCCTTGGATGGTTTCCAAAAGTTTTACAATACCCAAACTTCGGACGGTAGACTTTATTTGATCTCAATAAAGTACAGTTTCGCGAGAAAACTAATTTAGATTGTGCTTACGTTAATTTTTCTTCTGAAGTAACGTGCCAAATGCGAAAGCCGTTTGGATGATACTAAAGAATCTTTCGGATCATTACTTCGATTGTAATCAAACCAATAAGAGTGTTTAAGCTCTATAGTTCAGTTCACGATATATTAATTTAACTACTTATTGTAAACCTTCTTTAGCAGTCATAAACAACATTCATTTAAAACAAAATATTTCATTTGATAGATAGCATCATGTTAATTTTTGAATCACGCTAACATTTCATCATCATCACCAGCCCTTTTACGTCCCCACAGCAGGGGCTCAGGCCTTCCTTATGGATGGTTAAGGAGGATGGGCCATAACCCTCCACGCTGGCCCAATGCGGATTTGAGGGTATTAACGACTGCAAATGCAGCCGGGACCAACGGCTTAACGTGCCTTCCGAAGCACGGAGTAGCTCGAGATAATAATTTTTTGGTCATCCATCCCGTGACCGACCCTTGCGAAAGTTGCTTAACGACAACGATCGCGGGCTGCGGCGTTTTCCACTACCCACCGAGCTACTTTTCATTTTTATAAAACATTAATGAATAATAACATTTCATTTTTATAAAACATTAATGAAGTTTATATTTATTGTCTTTGATAATACAGAACTCTTTAGGTCAGCTGGTGTTTTATTGTTAAAACATTAACTTCTTCGATACAACCTCAGCCAAATTTATACAAAAAGCATTTGTTTTATTATTCAATATACTACTTTAAGAGTGACACTATTTTGCATGGCTTTTTGTGTGCATTGATATTTTGTTTGCTATTGTAAATACAGTGTATGCCTGTGATGAGTCCATCTTACAATCTTATATTAGAGAATAATCAATTGAGAAAATGGTATAGCTTAAGCAGATATTTTTTAACCAATAGACGAAAATTCGAATTAAATAAGAACTATTAATAGCTACTAATAATATTATTTTGATTCTTAACAGTTTTTGCTTCATTCAAATTCTTGTGTATTTATTAAAAATATTAGTTTAAGTAATTAATTTCTGCGAGATGGTCAATCAGAATCAGACGGTCATTTATTACTTTGTCATCCGCGTTTCCCGTAGGTGAAAATTTTGTTTTAAACCGTTCCTGTAATTTCGGAGCAAATTCGATACAAACAAACAATCAAATCTGTCTTCTTTATATATTTTAATACGCTTTTGTGGCTTTAAATGTATCTTTGCAAATACACATTAACAAAATAAATAAAAATATATTTGTTCGATGACCTGTTAAACCTAGTTTTAAATGTATAATAATCTTTATTATATTTTAACGTATTCTGGGAATAAAAACTTGGTCATTCACTGTTATTTCAGTTAAAATTAAAACTTACTTATATCAACAAAAAGATAACGCGACAAAACCCGCTATTTAGACGACATAGACCATAACATAAAAAGGATTGTCTTGCTCGATAAGCTCAACATTCTTATTAATGTGAGCGAAAGAGATGTATATAAAACACTTAGTCTATCGCAGATATCAATGAGTACAAAATTCAGTTCATTCTCCATGACTCACTACGCCGGCCCAGTTAGGATTAGTGAATATGCAGCTCAACGTGCCTTCTCTACCAAAGAAGACCTCAAGATAACAATTTTTGGTCACCAATCCTTGTTGGCCCTTGCGATAGTCTGTTAACATCCGTATCGCAGACCGAACCCGCTATCCCACAGTCCCAGAAACATCTCACATTCATACAACAAAATGTAATCTATTACACAGAAAAAGTGTAGTGTCATATAATCCCATCATCACCTTCAACAGCTACGAAATGTTCATTTAAAACATTGAATTCGTCATTAACGAAATTAATTTTTCAAATTACACTAAAATCTCTCCACACATTTCAACGTAAAAGTCTAGATTTTAATTCATTATAACCGGCGTTACGTTTCTAATTTTGCTTTCATTTCTTTTGTTGAGCACGCCGCGCCATATTGCTTTAATTATGAGGGATATGGAATTACTTTACACAAGGGCTGTTGTTTTAATACTTTCGTGTGAGCTAGGGTGTCACGCAATTAATATAATACTTATATAATGAAAGGGGAAGTTTCCCGTTATTATAATAGGTGAGATCTTTTTACGTTATTTATATAAATTTGGTTTGAAAATAAATTTTAAATAGCATATATGTTAATATTAAACGACATCACATACGAGTACATTGCTCAGATACCAAGATGAGTAGCTAAAGCCCTCGTATTATGGAGTATCTGAGACAACGAAGGTACCACAACACCCCAGACCCGAGTCAATATAGAAAAGTTCATTTTCTACATTGACCCGACCGGGAATCGAACGGGGACCTAAGAGATGGCGACATCTTGAAACCGGCATGCGAACCATTAAAGCAAAATATTAAAAAGAATATTTTTTAATAAAATAAAAAAAAAATCCTAGTCAAAAAGTATTTAGATTACTTTTAGAATCGAGCTTCTAATTTTATAAGCTCTAACAATAATTCTGTTCAAAATATGTGTCTTTGCCGTTTTGATACCGTCACATGGGAAGCTTGGAAACATTTTACATGAAAGTGATTTTGCTTTAGAAATATAACATACAAATGTTATTGTACTTTCAATGTTAGGTATATAAGTTTTATAAGAGGCAGAAGAAAAGTATACCTACAAATAATTTTAAAATTAAAATCACTAAAACTGTAAAACTTCTTTGCGGTCCAATGAACAAAACACGATCCAAAACAATATAGTTCAGCTTTTATAAAAGCCCCTACACACGAACAAATTAAAATGCAACGGAACTGTATTGTTAAATACAATATCAAACCGATCTTGGATCGTTAATATTTGGTAATTCAGTCGCCACTATAAACTGAGCTTTTGTTTTACCAATTGTTTTTGCGCGGAGTTTCTATATTAGAAATACAGAGGAGGGTGCGGAAGATCAACATATTGTGGTCATAATCGACATTGTATATTTATCAGCGAGAGATCTCTAGAAGGGTAGGGTAATGTTTTTCCGAAATAAAAACATTAATATACTGCCTACACAATTAGTCAAACTGTTGATAGGAATTATTATTATTGATAATTGGATACAGATCTCTATCGCATTTGGGCGTTACAAACATGGCCGCGTTACGGAATAAGGCAATTATATTATTGTCTATTCTTTTCTATTCTCTTTGTTTATTATGAGTCAACGGTTCTTTTGATAATTTAATTTAGACGACGTTTCATTGAATTTATTAATTAAATAAATAGAGTAATTAATCATAATTTCAGAGTCGCTCAGCGAGGCATGGAGAGAGCTATGTTAGGGGTTTCTTTGCGCGATAGGATCCGAAACGTGGATATTCGCCAAAGAATTAGAGTGACCGACATAGCTCGCAAAGTTTGTAAGCTGAATTGGCAGTGGGCAGGCCACATCGCTCGACGAACCGATAACCGATGGGGACG